GCCCAATCATATTTCCAAGCTCGCGCCAGGGGGGGGAGGGGTTACAAGCCTCGCGTCTTGTGCTGCATTCACTTGCACTCGGACATTAGAGATTTTTCTCTCATAAATGTCCGATGAGCCACAACTTTTCTTTCAAAAACAAAGGTGCCAAATGGGGTGGCAGCTGGGGTGGCAAGGCATTTTTCTGAGGTGGCAGCTGCCACCCCGTAGAACCGCCACTGCAGAACCGCCACTGCACTCATGTACATAGTAGTAAGCAGAGAGTGGGGTCGTTAACTAAAAAAAATGTATATATTACATATTACTTTTAAAAAAGTAATATATTACACTACTCCACTTGCACCCCCAATTACTATTGCATTAAGGAAGACATAACACAAGTCTTTCTTTTGATATGCTCTTTAATAAAATAGGCTACAGCCTACCACAAGCTAACAGTCTGTGAAACGGTAAAGACACTAATTAATTAAACCAGTTCAAGACGCATTATTCTTATTCTTATCATTCTTTATGAGCGCAGTAACGGTAAGGTATCTAATTACTTATTTATTTAGTTTTCCATAACTTAGTAACAGAGATGGTCAAACTAAAGTGGTAGAGACATGGCAGAATTCCTACAATGAAGCGGGGAATGAACTGTTCATCCGTGAGAGGGCAATCAAGAAAAGAGAGCGAGCGGCCCCGTTGAGGGAGTTTACAGATGAAAAGACTCAGCCATGTTTATGCAGCAATGCACGTGGAGATGTGGACGCGCAAATCGCGCAGATTACGTAGGCCTACATGTATACAAACCTGCGGCGGAAACCCCTCTTGTCTGTCAGTGAGTGTGATTATTTTATAAAAGTAACGAAGTAACGCGTGTCGGGGCAATGTTAGTAACTGTAGTGTGATTACTGAATTATAAAAGTAATGTGTTACACTACTCCGTTACCGACAAAAGTAATAGTATTACAGTAACGCGTTACGCCCAACTCTGGTAGTAAAGTCTAAATGAAGCTTAGCGCAAATTCTACCAGGAAGACCGTCTTTAGTCATTCATTCACATATTCCCAGTTTACTACTCTCTCTCCTCTCAATCAGCAATCGGGGGCGTCACTCCCCAGCGAAATCACTTTGCCTCTATTCCCACAAGCCTATCATAGTGCATTGCTAAACCTTTAAATCTGCTCTCTCCCCGTCCTCGCAGTTGTCATTTCAGGTGACTCAACGACGCAGCACAACGGGGTCTAATCAACAAATACCATTACATGCATCGGTGTATTCCCGGCAATAAATATATATCGTTACATCACAAAACGGTCTCTCCTGATTGAAAGACTATCAACGTCATGTCCAAAGAAACGGTAAACAAAAGAATTAAAGAAATAAAAAGAAACTAAATACAGAAGCCTTGCATCTAACAGCAACCTCCGAAGAAACAATTGAAAAGGTTAATTATTTCTCCATGGCAGTCCAGACGCTCCTGTTATCAGAAGATGGAACGCGGCTGAATGACTCTCCCTGGGAGGAGCGGGCTATAATGGACTTCTAATGGTTGGATGGCTGAAAGGAGCATTAATTGAAAGAAATGGGCCAGATCCCCAGAAAGACATTCTTAAATAGCTGGAATCAGTAGCTGCTGCAGTTAGAGGCACATATCGATCTCTGAAGACATTCACGCTCTCTTTCTCAAGACTCGGGATGAAGACCAAGAAGCCTTACGGTGAGAGGAGAAGACTGTTGGATATATTAAAGCTTCAGGTGTCAATCACTGAGAGTCGGTTATATGTAGACGTTAACTGAGGCTATGTGGCATGTGTAAATCCTTAATGTTTATTACCTAAAGAGTTCAAACACTAGTAACGTATGAAAGGTTGCCATCAAAACGGAGATACAGCGTCCCACGGTTTATTACGTTAAGACTAATAAACTTTTTTGTGCCCCAGTCAATCCCAGGTCAAATATACTCTAAAGAGTCTTGAACATGTTGTCTTCAGTGATTGAAATGTTGTGTTATCTGTTTCTGTATTTCTTGTCTTAAGTATGTGTCCTTGTTGATGCTGCAAATGGAGCTGCAGGGATTCAAGAAAATAGTCCGCCTTTCTCTGACAATGAAGCATTATTGTTTCATATTGAATCGTGTCGTATAGGTGACTTTAACGACTTGTAATGAGTTTAGAGAGTGGGCATGAACTTTTGGCATCTTTTGGGTTGCATGTAAAGAGTGAAGAAAGAGAGAAATAACAAAAGTAAAGCATGAGATCAAGAGATTTCCCAGGTCTGAAACTGCAAGTCAGGCTTCAAAATCAATATAATATAATATGTGAGAATATAAATATTTCTACAGATTGATGCCACTGTAAGAGTTAACTGTTAAAAAACATCAAAGCTGAGCTGTATAAACCTGTGTGTGCTATTTTCCAGGGGAGTTTGAAAATGCACCACCACAAGTGAGCCAGAAAGACAAATGGTACATTAACTACAGCTGTTAACAACAGCGATTGAGTGCTTAAGTCTCAGATTTCTTGTTAATTTACTGTATTAGCTGCCTACATTTAGTATATAAGGTCACACTGTCTGATATTACACTTCAAACAAAGATCTACAACCCATGTGTCAAACTCAAGGCCCGGGGGCCAAATCAGGCCCTTGGTGGATNATCCCAGAAACACACACACACACACACACACACACACACACACACACACACACACACACACACACTGTGTGTGTGTGTGTGTGTGTGTGTGTGTGTGTGTGTGTGTGTGTGTGTGTGTGTGTGTGTGTGTGTGTGTGTGTGTGTGTGTGTGTGTGTTTCTGGGATGTGTTTCTTTTAGGAGACGTTAACTCATTTCCTTTCCTCCCTTGTTAAGATGAATGTTCCACATTAACCTTTGAAGATAATAATACATCATTAGTAGCAGTGAAAAGTAAACATTAAAAGACATTAAGGGAATAACAATAATGAGAAAGATTTGACAGGGAAAGCATCTTTTGATGGATTTTTAGTTTAAATGATCCGTTGCATTTAGGGTGCACTGTAAGTTCAACTGTTATTATTCATTTTCTTATTTTCAAAAAGCTTTAATCCTCTCCACTTTCAGGTATACATTCCTATTAATAGCAGGTTTGTGTTACTAAGTAGTCACAGCTGTTAAAGGCTCTCGAGTCGTCTGCGTCAGAGAACGTCAGACAGACATATAAGACGACATAATGCCACTTTAATGCATAAAAACGCAACTAATCCTCCTTTCAACACCGGCTGGTGCTGCTGATCTCACCGCTCTCCCAGAGGTGGAAAATAAGTCATTTAAATGCTTGTGGTTGCAGCTCTTGAATTTGTAGATTTTACTCAGCATTGACTTGTATTTATATTGGAAAAGTCAATGCAATAAACTCGATAGTACAGCTCACACTATTTAGATTTAAAGAGCCATAACTTTGTGTTTGTTGACAGAACTGTTAATGACTGTAAAGAATGTTTCACCTTTATTAATCTTACTTTAATCACTTAACAAGTCAAGTGTGTTCCTTTCAGAGAAACAAATGAAACCGACTTATTAGCTCATGGAAATGTAAATAAATAGTAAAAGTTCTCCTTTAAATAAATTACAGCCGGACCAAACATCAACAGACGATGATATATAATTGCAGTCCGTTTTGTTCATGTTCCTCTTCTTCACCAGCAGGGGGCCTCATTGAATATGACTTCGAGGTTCAAGGTTCAAGGCTTTTATTGATATTGTGCATAGTTACAGTGTAGTTATGTTAACAGATTAAATAGTGCAAGTAAATAAAATAAAATAGAATAGAAGTAGTGCCATAAGAGTCTATATACAAGTGATACATGTACTTAGTGCCATTGTGATGGTTAGGGTCACCATAAGCATGTATATTTATTTATTTATTGATCTATATATATTTATTTTTAATGGATTATTAAAAAATGTTATCTGCATTTTTAAGGGAATTCTGTTTAACCTCACAAAGAAGAGAACATTAACACTTATTGGCAGTAAAATAAAAAGCTTTAGGCTTTATTGGCCTATGTGTTTTCTGGGTGTGGTTCCTGATTTCAAAGAGCCCCTTTCTTCATTGAGTGTGATTTATAATACTCACATTATATAATAAAATCTCAATCTTTTACTGTTTTTACATAACTGTGGGATTTTGTTTGCAATTAATAGATTTTGTTAACGCTTATTGAGTACATTGAACACGACACTTGCAATAGGCTCATGGCAGAGTTCGTCTGCGATGTGTGTTCTCACTCTTGTCTCCATCTGATTTCCATCCCTGACATCTTGACCGTGCTTGAATGAGCATGAGAAAGAACTCTTCCCTGCTCTGTTTAGAGAGTGACAGAAAATCTAACACTACGTCGAGTTGAAAACCTGATTTGATGATTGGTGTAATTCAGCAGTTTGTGTGAATGAATGAATACACTCTTCAGCTTGCTTTGTGTCTCTGTGTGTAAGAGGAGAGTTGAGTTCAGGACACAGGGACCTCAGAGAGCAAACACAGGCCGTCACATCCCAGTACAGATGAGCCAACCCACTGCAGCCATTTGAGCTCCGATTTAACTGGTTCTTACCAACGTTAGAGGGAAATAGCAATAAAATACTTTAGCAAACTAAAATGTCTTTCTCTTTCAAATTACTGAAATAAAACAAAAGTCATTGACAAGTGACTGAAAACAGGAAATCAAAATGCAAGCGTTTATTGACAAAATATGGACTTAAAAATGATTTATTATATAAAATGCTTGACCAAAATAAAGTCCACATTTCTTTTTTTATTACTGACCCTAAATAGTTATTATATTTCTCCAAAAGGCACATGAGCAAGGATATGACAAAGTGAACTACCTTTCAACTAACTTTGAAAATGTTTCTTTACATGATCATCTTATTCAATAGCAGCCCGTTCTAATGGGCAAAAAATAACATAATGCAATTATCAAAGGTTTTCGACAGCTCTGATTCTGATTATCTTCTTCTTTTGTTTCCCCTGACACACAGCTGGAGTCAGGCGCGGTGTACTATGAGCACCAGATACCTGAGGATCCTTTTTGGGTTGTGAGGGACTCCATAGAACTGACTCTGTCCTCCCAACCAGCCCCAGACGTCCGTCACATTTTGCCCATCACCATCGCTTACTACGCTGCTCACAGCAACATCTCCTCACAGCTGTGGAGGAACAAAGGTACGATAAAATGTGTAATAACAAAATCTTAACAATCACATCATTTGCAGTTGTTCAAGTATTCCCCCAGATATTGAGATGCAGAGAAGATAAGTTAAGCCTGTGAAGCCCCATAATAGGTCTGCACCTAAGATAGTAGTTACAATCTAAAGGTTTAGTCTTTAGTCAATTTAATAGATTAATATTCAATAATTAAAACGTTATTCATACAGGGTAGACCGGCTTAGCGTGCATGATCTATTACAGCAAAAACCTGTTAACAGTCAAAGCAAACAAAGAGTCTTATTAGAACAGAAATCAGACAATATTGTTTTAGCTTGCCATATTCCTGAAACAGAAATAAGACTAATACTGAATACCGTGAAAAATATATATATTTTGAGTAACAGTCCCTCTGCTTATTTCATGTTTTTGTATTATGTAAACAATACAACATGGTTTGGGCAGAGTAACACTTTAGAAACTGAAATGTCTTGTGTTTAAACAGTAAAACCTTTTTCTTTTTCATTTTGGAGAATACCTACATCTGCATAGGATTTAAGTGATACCCTAGTTTAAAGGACCTTAGTTTAAGTGGGAATCACTGAATAGCTTAAGTGTTATCTTGTTATCAACTCTATTTACAATGTCACATTTTTGCAAAAATGTCCAAAACAACAAGCTGGTCCCTCCATCTGTCTTTTCTAATGTGCCAACATCCAAAATTGGTTTAATATTGGTTTAATATTGGTTTAAATTCAATTCAATTCAATTCAAAGGGGCTTTATTGGCATGAAAGTTAAATTAAACAATGTTGCCAAAGCATCACAATACAAAATAATTAACAACATTATATGGTTTAACATGGTTTAATATTGTTTTCCCAATTCTGCACACAAACTTGTATGTACTTGATTTTAAAATAGTGTATGATAGTAACATTTCTCTTTGTTTTTAATTGTGTTCCCCTTAGGTTTGGATATTGTGCAAGGCCAGAGGAAAGCCCTTGACGATTCAATTCTTGACGCCTCAAATCTTCTGGCTATCCTACCTGAAGATAAGCGGGGCAATGTGAATGTGATTTTCGATATGAAGCATTTCCCTGACCACGGTCGTATCACCCTTGGTGGTCAGGACCTGTCCGGTGCTGCCCAGTTCTTTAAGCAGCAAGACATAGCTCAGGGAAAACTGGAGTATGTCCATGATGACTCTGGTGCTTCCTCTGACAGCTTCTCCTTCAGTGCCAGTCTAAAGTTTAAGGGTGAGTTTGTGGCCGCACCTTCGGATACGCTGATCCAAGAGGAGGTATTTCACATCGCAATCAAACGGCGGGGCTCTGACTCCCCAAAACTAGTCACAATAGACATGCTCTTGGAGGTTTTCCAAGGCTCCGTAACCGTTTTGTCCCAGAAGCAGTTTAACACTCAAGACGAGGACAGTTCGCCAGATGAGGTATACTACAAAGTGACAAAAGCCCCCAGCAATGGTCGAGTGGTTGACCGACTCACAATGGACCCCATCTCTGAGTTTACGCAGGAGATGGTCAATCATATGCAGGTGGGCTTCGTCAGCGATGGCAGCCTTTCCGATGGTTCTATGGAATTCATCGTTTCGGATGGAGAACACCAAACAGAGCCACACACGATCCACATTGGCGTCCTAGCTCGGACCTTGCTTCTTGACAAAGCCCCTGAGATCAAGGTGAAGCAAGGCGATGATGAGACCCTGGTGACTGAGGAGATGTTGAAGGTAACTACCGGGGGCCCTGTTGAGGAGGACATCCTTTACAAGATCACAAGTGTACCTAAGTATGCAGCTGTTATGGTAGACCGGCAGCCTACATCCGCCTTCACCCAGAAACAGATCAAGGAAGGCAGAGTCAGTGTCCGCTTTGTAAAGTCCACTTCACCTCGGGACAGTGTTGCATTTGTAGCCCGTAGCAGGGGTGCCAATGTCACCTCTGTCCTCAACATCACGGTGCAGCCTCTGGCCAACATCGCTCAGGATCCTCTCTTACCTCAAGGCGCACTTGTTAAACTCGACAGGAAGCTTCTGGATGCAACTCCTTTGGCAAACAAGACGAGAACCAACCCTACGTTCACTGTCATCCAGCAGCCTCAGGGGGCTCACTTTGTGTGGTCTAGAGGTCCTGGTGCAGGTCAGCCAGTGGACACATTCAGCCAAAAGGAGCTAGATGAGGGCCGCGTAGCTATGGAAATCCTAGAGAAGAGCCCTTCTGGATCACGGGGTAGTGTCATTCAGGATGAGGCCCGCTTCCTGCTCAAAGCCCATGGGGTTCCTCCGGCAGAATGTGTGTTTTCCTTCCAGACGGGCCCCTACAATGCCTCTGGGGTCTACCCTGCCACTCTGTTGAGGCTTCCCTTAGATGACCCATCAAGGGAAAGTAATGACATCCCTGAGGTAGCCGGGTCCCCTCGATCCACTCAAGCTAGTCCCCGCTGGAATGGTGACATGGACTGGCCCAATGGACAAGCCCCCACCACAGCATCTGCAGGCGCTGGCTCCGGCAGGAATCCACATGTTGCCCGGCGCAGCAGCTTCTGGTCTATTCTCATCCCAATCCTGGTCATCCTTCTCCTGTTGATGCTGGCAGGCGTCTTGGCCTACTACTTGATTCGTAAAAACAAGACAGGCAAACACAACGTCCAGACGGCAGCATCAAAGCCCAAAAACGGAGAGGTGGCTACCGGCACAGAAACCTTTCGCAAAACTGACCCGGCCAATAACATCCCAATGTCAAACATGGACTCCAAAGACGCAGACCCAGAGTTGTTGCAGGACTGTCGGACAACGAACCCGGCCTTAAAAAAGAACCAGTACTGGGTCTGAGACACTTTGAGATAGGACACAGAGGGAAGTGGATCCTCGAGTGTTTGGAAGTCTCCTTAAATCATTCCTCTCAGTATTAAAGACCTCTTGCCACACCAGTTTAGATGAAGATTATTTTTTGACACCATTAGTTATTTACTTATCTCAACATAACTGTGGACAAATTCTCAGGCAATGAAACACTGAATACGTATTGGCAAATAAAGAGGCAGTTTCTTATCGGAGGCTCAGGCCATGTCTATTTATTTTAGTTGTATCATTCCTCTTCGTCAAAGGGCACACATTAAGACATAAACACGCTGTGTGTTTGCAAAAAAGTATCCTGGGTGTGCTCCGTCATTGTAATCCATATGATATCATAGGCCAATATTATTCATTTGAGTTGATAGGTGATTGAAAGTTTTTGTGACGATTTGATTTTTTTGTTTTCCCGGAAAGTTGATAAGCCGTGTACATAGCTGAAGAGGTAAACATATGCTGTATTATCGAGAAAATGAAAAACTGCCTCTTTGTGTTTTCTCTTTTACTTTTCAATGTTTTTAAGGTACCATTTTATTGTGTTTCTCAGGGCTAAATTCAACTTAAAGAAATCGTTTTTTCAAAGCAATATCAGAGAATGATACCAATCTCATATTTGCTTATTGAAATATGAAGTAACATCCAGAAGTTAGTTTAGCTAAGTCAAATGACCAAGGTGTTTCCATCCGAAAGTATAATTATCCATTACCAGCGCTTCTAAAGCTCACTACCTAACATGCTATATCTCTTTTGTATAATCTTTGTAAAAAAAAAAGGGAAACAAAAGAAAGAAGTTGTGCTTTTATGGGGGATAATGCCCCAGATTTTTGGCTAACAGTGACTTGCTGAATGTGGCTAGTTGGGACGGGACAAGTTAGCTGTTGCACGTCTTTAGAGTTTGCTTTGCTATGCTATGCTATGCTATGCTATGCTATGCTATGCTATGCTATGCTATGCTAATGGTTTCCTGTCCTGTTGCTTCATTTTGAACGGACAGATATGAGATTGGTATTTACCTTCTTATCTAACTCTTAGTAATAGAGCAAATAAGCTTAGGCTCTTAAAATGTCATCACACAAGAACATTTCAGTAGTTTTACTTTTGTCTGGAAGGAAGATCGTTTGATGAAAAGCTTGTTGCATTCACATACATAGGTTTAATTGAATTTAGCTCAGAGTAACGTCATCGTCGTCTATCACATGATATTATTGTTGATGCTTCCATAAGTGCTTGTAAATATTCACTGGACTGGCACAGCACTGACATCGAAACCACACGGTACACAGTTAGCAGACCGCAGGCAGAGGCTATTCTGGTAGCATTGGTCTTTAACACATCCGTAATGGCTGACAGGCAGCGGTGAGGTCATCTACTTCTGGGATGTTTCCAGTTTCCTAGTCTGCAATTAACAATTTATTAATAAAAAGACGGTTAGTGCTGGGATGGGGATAATGAAAGGAAATACTCTGCTGTTTAGGTCACATTGGTGAAGCAAAGGAGGACATTGACAGTTTGTTTCTCACAGCTATTCTTGGTTTTAAGCATTCCATATGTAAGCTATTGAAATCCTGAGATTTTCTTTTTTTTACTTTTTACTCTTAGACTTATTTTGTATGTTGAAGCTTAAAGGAGCATTACTGTAAAAATACTCCTTTTTGTTCCTCCTTGTTCTCATTCTTTGTTGTCACTCTGGCTTGTGATGGTTATCTTGTTTTTGAATGTTGAATGAAGTAGGTGAATTAGAAAGTGTAGAAGAAGACTACGGTGAAGAAGAAAGTGTTTAATGAAATATCAGATAACTATTTTGGATCCACTAAAGAAAAAGAAAAGACTCGACATTTATATTTTGAAAACTGTTGGACTATTTGCTGTACATTTCTTTTTATCATACTGTATGTCAATGACAACTTATTCTTTGTTAGTCATTTACTGAAAATATAATAATTCCTTCGCAGTACTCATCGTGTATTATTGATCTTCTATTTTTGTAGTGTTCAAGCGGAAAATATAAGTAGAGATTTTACAGCACAGAGCTCAGGAAGTGATGTGTTTCGGGAGACTATGTATTTCCATTGACATCGCTTACATCAAATCGAAATAAAAGTATTGGTTTCTCCTACAGGATACCACATCCACAGCTTATCAGTTTTATGTGTAAATATTTGTTTTTTAAGTAAGATTTATGCGCTTAATTCATGTCTTGAATCATATATTTAGTGTATATCATGTTTGTCGTCGAAGGTACTTGTACATGTAACTACATTTAATTTGACCAATCAACTGCTAAATATGCCTGTGTCTTTGTTTGTGTTTCTTTTTGTGTTTGTCTTTGCAGGTGCCCATACTCTGTCACTCTTTTGTTTTCTCCTTACAGCTTTTTTCATTTTCATCACCACACCTCATTCTTTTCATTATTTATTATTTCTGACCATCTCCATCAAGTCATACTCAAATTGTGTGCTTTGTCAGAGATTAAACTGTAATCTGTAACAACAGCTGCCTTTAAAAGATAATAACTCAAAGAAATGTTTAGATTTTTTGAAAACGAGTCATGTCTATTGCTGCAGAATGCCTCTGAGCTTGTTCTCGGCACTAATTGAAATAAAAACGTTCATGCAACAAAACCAGCGTTAATTGTTTTCAGTCAGTGACTCTTTCGTTATACTCAAAGCTAATTGTATTATCTAAATAGTTTTTAATTGGCCTTTTTACCCAATTAAAATGTTCATGAATCAGATATCAGATCATTGTATCACTTGAAAGTGCTGAGAAATGACTTTGTGCTTTCATGCCTCAATTACTGTAATGTATTACACTCTTTCCTGGGCAGAGGCGTTCTTCTTAGGATGATATAATGTAGGAGGTTATCTTTTTACACAAAGTGCATGGAGCCGCTCTTGGCCGGTAATCATAGCCTCCGTTGAAGAAAAATTGAATTTGAAACCTGAGTTATTACTGAGGAATATTTTCCTCTTGTCGACTGACCAGAGCATGCATTTGCTGTCTTTACTTATTAACCTTGGTTCACTTCTCACTATTAGACCTTACAAATATATTGACAAAAAAGTGACTTGTGCACTTTCTTGCTAGTTTAATTTATGTTATTTCTGTTTTAATTCTGTTTTTGATGATGTCTGTTTGATATTTTTAGCTTATTGCTTTCATTTTGAAGCATGTTTTAACTTTCGTAAAGGAAATCTTTACTTACTGTACTTAATTGTTTCTTAAGTCTGCTTTTCATTTAATTTGTCTTTCTTTTTGTCATAGTCATGGATATTAATAGCATGCACAGAGTTGCACATTACATTTGATCGACTTTAGGACATTATATTCTCTCTTTTCTGAGTTGTTTGTACTAGTTATAAGCATTTTATTTATTGCATATCACTTCGCTACCTTTACATTACATATTGACACTATTCTGTAAGAGTTGTTGAAATAATTTGTATTTTATTATTATACAAACACAATGTTATATACGGCTTGGGCTAAATGTGGGCAAATCAGAGAGGGTCCCTTTATTAAAATATACATATTTAAATACAGACACAGAAACACTAGTGTCAATGTTTTATAATAAAAGAAAGTTTTGCATCGTTCGCAGGGAAACCTACTTTTGTGAACCCTTTGTTGTCTGCTTTCTATTGATGCTGTAAGTGCTTTTGACCACCAGGTGGTGTTAGTGTGCAAACAGCCCCAAAGAGACCATGACAGTTCTTGCAGCCATTCGTCAGCATTTAACAAGCTTTCCTCCATCCGTCATTCTTTCCAGGGAATGGCCTTTGCTTTCGGTGTTTCTCTCGTTTTTTTATATTTTCCTGCTCTCCTGTGCACTTTCTGTCACTGGCTGCCCATGCTTTCCTCCGAGCCGCTCATCCTGCTGCTTTCACAAGCTGCTCAGCACAGCTGTTGCTCCACATGTGTCTGCTTATGTCATGGAGCAGTGGGTGTCAAGTCTCAAGTTCAATGTGTTTTTCTTGAAATAAAAACAATAAGATAGTGTATTTCACTTTGCTTAAATAGTCAACTGTCAAACCTGTCAAAAAATCAAATCAGTTCGCAAAAAAAGAAATGAAATATTCTTAAGAGTAAAAATGAAAGTCTCATTAAAAGCAATGTTGATTGTCTCATTTGCAAACAATATCCTTCTTTTAAGCTACATTTAAACTGAAAGTAAGCGGAAACTAGCAATTTCACTTTAAACTAAGCTGAAATTGAAATGTCATTACAAAAACCTCACATGTGATCTAGGTTGGACACAATGAGAATATAATAGCCTGAATCCAACTTTCTGCTTTCCTTAACATCATCAAAAATTGAAAATCTACAAGAGAGAAGTATTGGCAAATCTGAGCTGCAGATTAAACTTTAAGTAAAGTATTGCAAATAGCATCATATCATGTCATGCCTTGTGAAAGCTTGGATAAAGAGTCATAGAAAACCACTTGGAGAAGGACTTAATGTTCTGAATGTTGTTTAAGTGGTTGTGGCGTTGTAAATGTCAACTCTGTGTAGAGACAGTCTGTTTCAGGAAGAAGTTATTTACTTCTCCTGATACAGCATAGACACCTCCCTCTGCCCACTCCCACTCTCTCTGAACCCCCCAAATCTGCTTTCGATTCGAGTTTTGGAAGGAAACGCAAAGCACCTTCTCTTTTATATGTTTGGCCTGGTTAGAAAGATTGAGCTGCTGATTGGCGGATGTTATCCAGTGTCAGTTTGTTGCAAAACGACTCCTCCTCAATCCCTTAAGACCAACAGCTCTGAAAACACACAAGGCAGGGAGGAGGACATTCTTAAGATGCTTGAACTCTTTAACTACTGAAATCAAACACCAGTCAAAATATCTGAATGTTGTTTACAACTGAATGTTCGATCATTAGGCTGCTTGTAAAGGGGCCATATTATCATTTTCAGGTTCAAATGTGTATGTTGTGCCTCGGCTGTGACCTGTCTCCATGCTTTAATGTTCAACAAGCTCTTTATTTTTCTCACACCGCCTGTGCTGCAGCACCTCTTTTCACCCTCTGTCTGAAACCAGAGCCCAGTCTGCTCTGATTAGTTAGCTAGAGCGAGCTCTGTTGTGATTGGTTAACTGCTTAGAGATGTCCCGCCCCTAAACCAATCCTGTACAATGTATTGGAAAGCTAGCCAATGGAAGCGCAAGTCTTACGTATTGATGTCACTATGTTACAGAGGTAAACAAAGCTTTTCAGGCATGGAGGGGGAGTGTCTGAGAGAAACTCCCTGTGGCATGAACTTTAGCCTTTGCAGACCATTAACATGCACAACAAATGTAAATGTTCCAGTTGTGTTTGTTGATTACACCTACAAAAAACGTTGTCAGAATTGCAAAAGATGCCATAACAGTTAGGCAAAGCATTTTTAAGAAAAACAGAAACCAACTGTTCTCCCTCATCTGACCCAACATTCACCAAGATCTTCCAGATAACCCAAGTTACTTTACAAGCAAATCATCAAGCAATTAAGTTAGCATTATTTCCAGCTTCTTTAAGATTCAAAGCATCCGTTTGCTTGTTAGCCTTCAATATAGTCTGAGCTGGGTTGTGTTGACGTTGGCTTTAGGCTCTGAGTCGGCCTCAGAGGAAGAGAAATGTTTCCTCTGCTGCATTATCTTCAGCCTCCATCAACTCTCCACATGCAGTAAGTGGCATGCAAAATGGACTAACCTCCAAACCTGAATGTGTTTCGGGGCATGCTGTTCCCACCTTTCTCGCACATAAGTCATGTCCGTGCAGAAGTCATGACCTGAGAACAATCTTTGTGTGGTTGGTGCATCACTGCTGTCGAATCTCATCCTCCACAGTCTAGACTTCTCTCTTATGCGGCTATCCACAGGTTCCTGTTTGCTGTTGTTTTGTCAATACAGTTGTGGTTTAGCTGTGGAATTGCTGCTGTGTAATTCTTAGATATGACCAGATGGTGTGGGCAGTATTGTGATGTACTATTATTTACATTTTCAGATGGTGACTTTCTATAGGTGACATGTTCCAATTCATTCATTTAACCGTTGATTTTTCAGAAATAATTAATTTAATAATTTACAAGGATTTTCCCAGAGCTGCAAAATCTTCCATCTGCATTTACTGTAACGAACTGGTTAAATTACTTTTTAACCTGTATTTCAGTCTTGTGTAAGTTAATATTGTTTATTCCATGATCCAACCAAATTAGATGCTATTTATGTCCACTTTTTAACATAAAACATATACATTAGCGTGTCTGTGATCAAATTGCTTCAGTAGCTCTCATTGGCTACCATTGTTGTTGTTGACAATATTGGTATATATACTTTTTATGTGTTCATTAACGTGTCCTTAACGTTTATTTCCTGGAGTCTGGATTAGAGCAAATTGCAACAGTCAGAGCAGAAAAGGTTTGCATGCAGCGGTCACCAGTAAAATAACAGATGTTGATGTTTTCCTTGTTGTCACTGTTACTTTGTTTGAGAATAAAATGCACCAAACTAAAAACAGGTTACTCCATTTAAAATGTAGAGTAAAAGTATCCTCTGAGGTTCATTTTTCGACCGCATGTAACATTGGGCCTCTGGTCACACACAGCTGTCAGAGGAGGTTAGAGGCGGATGTCGGGGTCAGGAGAGCAGTGTGATATGCTGGTCTGGGGCTGAGAGTCAAACAGGGCCCGTCACTGAGCTCCAAGAGGCCTTTAAGTCAGAGGGACACACACAGACAGCTGGAAGACAGAAACATGTGTGTGGACAGCCTGTTGCTCTCTGTACATTGTGCTGATGATAGGATTACCGCTCGTTCAACCTAGTGTTTGCAGCCACATAATAATAGGTCTTTTTTTAACGATTGTATCTTAGACATACAAAACAAGGTCAGAAATAAAAACTAATATGATTCTGACAGTTGGTCGACTTTCCAAGCATTAAGAAAAATATACCATCTTCTTTTCTCACTAAACATATTTAGGACATTAAAGAACGTTTGTCCAAACATATTGATAAAAGAGGACTTGTTGTTGTAGGTTGATTTTGTCTCCCTTGTCCAGTTGTTTGTATTACTATCCTATGTTACATGTACATGGCATTATATAGATCTGTATTAACTACTTGTATTGTACAAGTACAAGAAGAAAAATGATTTTAAAGAACACTTTTTTATATTGTCAGGAAACTCTTCTTCACAGTAATGTGCATGGATTACTGTGTCTGCTAAAGTTGCATGCAATTCTATCCCGCTAAATTCCACAAGCCACACTGCCATGAGGCCATTTTCCACAACACTCTGTGTGTGTGTGTGTGTGTGTGTGTGTGTGTGTGTGTGTGTGTGTGTGTGTGTGTGTGTGTGTGTGTGTGTGTGTGTGTGTGCGTGCCTCAGCATACCTCAGCATACCTCAGCATTCTCATTTAATGATCATTTCAGCAATGTTTCGGCCATCTGGCAACTTCATGAAATGGGTTTGCTATTGTGAAATCTCATCAGCATAGTTTCCAGATGCAGAAGGAGCTGTTTTAGTTAAAGAGCTACCTGTGCAGTACTGAACCACAGGCAGACTAAAAGGGGAAGTAACTGGTGTCATTTAGCATTTAAAGAGCATGAGCTTCCTCCACCAGTTGAGACCAAAATCAGGTCTCAAAGATGATAAGATATTGGACTTGCGTTCATCAGATTGATAATAAAAGGACTCACAATCAATGCTTAGGTTGCTCTTTCCCTGTTGGGTGTATAAATAGGCATCTGCTTGTTCGCCATATCGACTTTATATGGTGATAACATGTTAATAGCCTTCAATAGCCATTTTTGCACTAACCATGAATCGCTAATGACGATACATACAAGTCATGTTTATGTTTATGTTTATTCAGGATCCCCAGTAGCTTTTGCTTTCGACAAAAGCTACTCTTCCTGGGGTCCGACACTTAAAACAATACAACAATAATACAGCAACATTTAGGACATAAGTG